TATCTATATTTGCTTATTCTTTTTTTAAAAAAATTATACAGGGGCTGGGGTTGTGGCTCAGTGGTGGAGTGCTTGTCTAGCACGTGTGAGGCACTGCGTTTGATCTTCAGCACCATGTAAAAATAAATAAATAGTATAAAGGTTGTGTGTCCATCTACAACTACAAAACTATTTTTTTAAATGCTATACAAATGTGCTTATATTATACATACCATTTTTTTTCAGATGCTTTTTGGGATCATATTTGGACGTCTTTACTTCAATACAAGTTAAACATTTAAGCTTCTTTGTAAATTTTAAATTTTTGGTATTTATAAATTGCTCATAAAAAGAGTACACCAAATCTATTTGCTCATCAAGTGTTTGAGAATGCTTTGTTCTTCACATGTTCATTGACTTTAAATAGTCTTCCTAATTTTAAACATAATGATAGATGCTTTAACTTAAACTTATTTTACTGTCAATGAGATCAAGGATCTTTTTATATTGTTTGTTTTATCTACATCATCAAAGTTATATATATTGTCATTTGTGTATCCTAGGGGTTTTTTGGGGGGGTCTATTAAAAAATAAAATCAGTTTATTTTTTTTTTGTCATTTGTCCCTTGACTTTGGATCACCTCACATTTTTTTTTGCCATGCAGAGGGTTTAAATTTATATAATTAAGTGTATTTTCCCCCACTGATTTGAATTCTGTGTTGTGAGTCAAAAGGCGTCTCTGTTTTGCTATTTTTTTTGCCTTTTAATCAAGTCCTCCCATTTAATAGTAGAGTTGCACAGAATGTAATTGAAAGGAATTGGTGTATCTGGTATATCTTTCTGAATTTGGTGCACTCTGTTGCCTCAGAAGGGTTAATAACACTTTTGAGTTAGAATCCCTAAGTGGTCCTGAGTATTCCTTAATAATGAGAAGAACAAAATAGAAAACAAGAAGGAGTTGTTAGTCAGCCACTGAATGAACTGTCTTCTCACCGAATGAAGAATATGCTAAATGCACCTCTTTTTCCTTCTGGAAATAATATGTGAAGCTTGCCACCCAATCCTAGTATTAACTGCTATAGCTCAGACTTCTATGTGCAGGAAAATGTGAGCAAGGCACGAGTTTGGGAATAAAATGCTCCTCTTTGGAGGCACAGACCATACCCGGGCATTAATTAGAAATGGTATGGCCTCCTGGTTGACACACTTGAAAGGAATGAGTGGGTAGGGAGGAGGTTGTCCAGTAAATTGAGAATTGCAGAGAAGGAGTTGGAAGGCAGAAAAGGCACTGTAGTTTTGCTGGTCTCTTTAGTGAGTCTTGTTCTTTTGGGGGGCAGGCAGTGACTGTGGTTACTGTTTTTTCCTTCACCCATGTAACCTCAGGGCCTTCCTTATATCTACTCACTCATTCTGAAGTTAGGAAGTCGACACCCTTCCCAGGAGCACATCTTGTTTGCTGCTTTGGGTATTTGTGTACAAACTTGATCCAAAGCAACGTGGGAGAGAGTTTGAGGTTTCCAAGCTTCTGTTTAGCATTGTTCTCTGCTAGATGCTAACCAGTCCAGAAGAATACCCACCGTTTTTGTCTGCAAGATTCATCTCTTCATGTCTTCCTTTTCCAGCAGCTACTGTTGATCTGTCTAGTAACTTAAGGCCGTGTCAAGCTGACCTCCTTGGAAACTAGTGGTCCAGCATTGTGGAGTGAGCGGAAGTTGTTCTTCCATCCCTGCTGTGAGGATGACCTTAACCCCACATTTTTAACCTTGCTATCTATCTCTTGGACATCTGCCCTTATCTAGTTGTGCTGTTAAAACAATAGAAATTTATTTATCACAGCTCTGAAACCTGAAAAGTCCAAGATCAAGGTTCCAGATTGGTGTCTGGTGAGGGTCAGGTTCCAGTTCAAAGATGTCCATCTTTTCTCTGTGGCTTCACATGGCAGAAGGAGCAAAGGAATTTCTCTAGGGACTCTCTTATAAGGATACCATTCATGAGAGCTCCACTCCCACGACCTATTCAACTCCCCAAAGTCCATCTTCCAAACACCCTTACAATGGGAATTAGATTTCAATATGGGGACACAAATGTTCAGACCATCACAACATCCAAGGACTCAGCTTGCTACATCCTTCATCTGTTGTCATTTTATCCTGGCAGAGGGTGGACACCAGGCACTTGTCCCAGCAATCTAGCCAACCTCAGAAAGTTTTATTCTTCTTTTATCAAACATTGAAGAAAATTAAATACTTAGTTTTAGTCTAACATTTTTTAATGTAAGAGACTCTCTGTATTTGCACATCTCACAAACATTTCATCCAGAGTCCAAGTGGCCCTCCAGGAGCATGAGAGATTCCATCTCAAGAAGGATTGATCCTAAGAACTCAACGTGTCGTGTCTCCTCACCATTTCTTGTCTGTGACTGTGGCCATTGGCATGATCATTCTGGAGAAACCATGACAAAGCCTATAGGAGTCTGATGAGAAAGAGCTTTACTCTTCCCTTTGTTTCTCAGGTGCCTGTACTTAATGCTTCCAAAGTCCACCACATTGGCGTTTAAAACTGGTAAACATTTGATGAGCCATTGTTTATGTTATAATAGTCACCATAATGGAGAAAAAGCACAGATAGACTTTTTAGTATTGCATTGCTTCATTTATATAACAGATATTTATTTAGCCCTTACAGTATGCCAAGCACTATGGTGTCAGGCATGTATCTGGGAATAATACAAGTGACCACAATTGACAAGCACTGAGCTCTTTCTACTTCATCAGGCACTGTGCTGAGTGCTTTATGTGGATTATCTTATGTAATTCTCTAGCCAACCTTGTAACTAATATGTTTAAAGTCTCTGTAAAAAGATAAGGAAAATAAGGTTTTGAGAGATTGACCAACCTAGCCAATAGCATCTTGCTAACAAAGATTAAAGCTGGTACACAACCCAGTATATTTCCTAATCGGAACCTGTTTACTCTTATTTTTACATGAGGCACAAACAAGTCCTTGCCTTCATAGAATTTTTAGTCTGAATTAAATAGAAAACGTTTATACAGAAAAACTCTTTTAAATAAACTCAGAGGAGGTTTCCCACCTTTGTAGAGATTTTAGGCAGGTTCACGCTCCATTAATGAAAGTTGCTTGGTTGACACAGCCTTCTTTTTTTTTTTCCTCCTATCAAATTCACTCTCTCTCTTGTGTCTGTCTCTGGTCTTCCTTCTAGCATCTCTGCCTTGTCCTTCTGCTCCTCTTTCTTCTCTGAGTGCCCTGCCTTCCATATCTGTTTATTTTGCCTCTCTCCCAACTAGATAATTACTAGAGTCCCCAAATGTCATGCAATGCAGTTTGGGAGGAAAATATGGAAGGGAGGGACACTTCACTGCAAATGACAGGAGCTGTTGATGGATGGCTTAGCCAGCCTAGGGGTCCTTCTTTCGCACTTTCTGGCATTTAAGTGATACAGGATTCCAAAAGCACATCCACTCCATTTGGCTGCTGTTAATCTCATTTTTCCATGATTAACAACCCAGTTCATTATGTTTTCAGCTCACATTAATCATCTCTTCTGCAAGTTTGGTAACATTTGGAGTCATTTCCCTCTGTATTTATCCATCTGGGATCTTTATAAAGGATAAGTTTGCAGAAAGTCATTTGTTGCTTATGCAGAAAGACTTTTGATGCTCACTGCTGTAAGAGGAGTGAATGCTTTTTCCTTATTTCTCAGATCCTGGAAGAGAAACTTTTGAAAGCATGCATGGATTTTTCTCTACCATGCAGAGGGTCTCCTCAACACAGCCCCATGGGATTCTCAACTTGGAGCAAGATCCACAGAGTGTAGAATTAAGCTACAACATAATTGCATCAGAAATCACAAACACAAAAAAAGCAATGCTTGCTGGATCCTGAGTATTGTCATAGAGCAGATGGGATTGGAAGAGAGCTGTGGGGGTAGTGGAAAGAGTAGTGAGATTAATGAGTCAGAACAAAACTTTGGCTGCAGTTCTATCTCTACACCTACAAGCTGTTTGACCTTGGGCAAGTCATATTATTTCCATCCACTAGTCTTGGTGAACTGGTCCCAAAGCTATGTCTGTCCTCTCTTTATCAGAGGGTAGCTTTGAAGGTTAACTTTGTATACTTATCTCTGCTTGTTGCTTTAATTAAACTTGAGAATATTGCTTTTATTAATTTTGTAATTTCTATGGCTCTTTCTAGTGCTAATATGGAAAGAAAAGGTAGCCTACTGGACAAGTTTTAGAGGCTAGTATTTCTTAATTCTCTTCTTTACTAAAAAGTTTTGTAGGTATGTGTCATATTTGAAGATCCCTTGGGGAGGGGATATGTTGTTTAGAAGACAGAAAGAGAATCGTTTGGAAATTCAGTTAGAAGCATCCTCTCAGGTATAATATAATCTCAGGAGGTCACAAGGGAAGTAACTCTTCTAAAAGTTCCTGTTTGGCTACCCCCAACAATATTTTGTTGTGAGGGTTAGAAGGCATTTATTCGTTTCTTAATTCAAGAATTAATTTCTTTAGAGACAATATTCCAAATTGGGCATCTATTCAAAAGCCATGACACCTATTCCTGACTCTGGCCATTAACTGTGAAATATTGGTATTATTTCTCATGGCTGCCCAGATTAAGGGCTAAATTGCATTAATGCATCTGTTACTATAGGAAGGTTGAAAGTCATAATTCAATTTCACTGCTGTAGAACTTAGAAGGGGTCCAGGAGAGAAGTAAAGATCAGAGAAATGGGGACTGTTTGCTCTAATTCTGCCCAGCTGAACACAAGGAAACAGAATTTGAAAATGTTGTCATTTATTGACGGTCTTCTCCCCAACTCGTGGGATTTGAGCAGGAGATTCCCATTACACAGATAATTCCCAGTGGCCTTAGTGGAAATTATCTGCATAACTAACCTTCCTGCCCATGTAGAATGCCAGACGCCTGAGAGCACTTTTAATTGCAGTGTTCCTCCCTTTGCAAAAGGGCTAATTGCATCTGCTTCCCTTTCCTTTAGGTTCCCAGGCAAGGGCAGGAATAATGAAGAGATGCACATGTTAGCTGCAGCCTTTTGAGCCACACAAGGAGGAAATCAACGGTGTGGACAGAGCTGGAACCATTGCCACAGTTGTTGGAGTCAATGAGGAATGGACTTGTGATTATGCTGACATTCCAGCATGAATCTGGTAGACCTGTGGTTAACCCGTTCTCTCTCCATGTGTCTCCTTCTACAGAGTTTTGTTCTTATGATACTGTGCTTCCATTCTGCCAGTATGTGTCCCAAGGGCTGTCTTTGTTCTTCCTCCGGGGGCTTAAATGTCACCTGTAGCAATGCAAATCTCAAGGAAATACCTAGAGATCTTCCTCCCGAAACAGTTTTACTGTATCTGGACTCCAATCAGATCACATCTATCCCCAATGAGATTTTTAAAGACCTGCATCAACTGAGAGTTCTCAACCTGTCCAAAAACGGCATCGAGTTTATTGATGAGCACGCCTTCAAAGGAGTAGCTGAAACCTTGCAGACTCTGGACTTGTCCGACAACCGGATTCAAAGCGTGCATAAAAATGCCTTCAATAACCTGAAGGCCAGGGCCAGAATCGCCAACAACCCCTGGCACTGTGACTGTACTTTGCAGCAGGTTCTGAGGAGCATGGCGTCCAATCATGAGACTGCCCACAATGTGATCTGCAAGACCTCCGTGTTGGACGAACACGCCGGAAGACCATTCCTCAATGCTGCCAATGATGCTGACCTTTGTAACCTCCCTAAAAAAACTACCGATTATGCCATGCTGGTCACCATGTTTGGCTGGTTCACCATGGTGATCTCGTATGTGGTATATTACGTGAGGCAAAATCAAGAGGATGCCCGGAGACACCTCGAATACTTGAAATCCCTGCCAAGCAGGCAAAAGAAAGCAGACGAACCTGATGATATTAGCACTGTGGTATAATGTCCAAACTGACTGGCATTGAGAAAGAAAGTAGTTGGAGATTGCAGTAGAATAAGTGGTTTAATTCTCCCATCCATTGTAAACATCTAAAACTTTGTATTTCAGTTTCTTTGAATTATGCCACTGTTGAACTTTTAACAAACACTATGACATAACAAATAATTTTAGTTTAGGTAATGGATTCCCTTAATTGTACCCCTGGTGGTATATTCCTGAGTAAGCTACTATCTGAACATTAGTTAGACCCATCTCACTATTTAATAACGAAATTTATTTTTTTAATTTAAAACCAAATAAAAGCTTAACTTTGAACCATGGAAAACAGAGTGACTTTTTGGTCCAAAATAAACAAACAAACAAAAGTCCAGTATAGTCATTCTACTTGTTTTGAAGAAAAACAGACCACCCTGTAATCCTAAAGAACCATCACAAGGAAGGATGTCTTATTAAGCCCTACTGTGCACTAGGGAGACATAGTTGAATTATTGACCAACCTGAGTATCAGATTTTGAGATACTGAGTTTTAGCAAACCCAGGTGGTTATCCAAGTATGGCATTCTGCAGGTATCTTTTGGCATTTGCCCTTCAAAATAGGTATGTAAATACCTGCTGTGCATTTACTTGGTACTAGACACAATGAACAAGAAAAAGATATGGCACATATTCTGTCCTCGAGATTACCTTCTGATGGACAGGAATGTGTAAGAAATATAGAAATAACAATTCTAGAGAGGAAATTCTTAATAATCCTATAGCTTCAATGGCATGAGGCATTTTGATACTATGATCGTCTCTAAACACTCATTACAAGAAAAGAAAGTGGCTGTTGCCTTATTTATGTAAGAGAACCAGCAAGTGAAAGAGACTCAATGATTTTTCAGGTAGACAGTATTTGAACTTGAATTTGAAGCAGATCTTTCTGTCTCCAAATATTAGGTTTTCTCATTGTGTTCCTACTGAGTTTGTTTATAGAAGTGTAGTTTATATAGTAAAAAAGAAAATCACCCACATTAGCTCTACAGTTCTGTGAAATTTGAAAAACAAATATATATACCTGTGCATCTGTCACACACCTAGATATTGGGTCCCTATCATGGGTCTGAGGTGGGAGAAAGCACATTTGGTTCTTGGAATCATGAATTATGGGTTTCTTTTTGGTTTTAGGATGGCATTACTGATAATCCTTGAGTCTTGGGTGGGATCTCATGAGGTTTCAATGTAAGCAAAAAAAGACATCTGCAGAAGGAGCAAAGGGACAAAGGCACAGGGAGGTATTTAGGATGAAGGAGCCTCTGTAGAGAAGTGAGAGACAAAGCTGAAATCATATGGCAGTTATTTTGAGTCCAGTCTAAGGAATAATAGTAATTTGCTTTCAAATATCTATGGAACACTTACTGTGCACCAAGTACTTTTTGGATTGTCTTAATCCTCACAATTCATATATGAAATGGTCTTTTGTGGGTCAGAAATCAAAGACACAGAAGTTAAGATAATGATTCAGGATTCTAGAGCTCAGAGGTAAGCAGATGTTGAAATTTGGTCAATCAGCTCTAGAATCTATGGACCTCTGAACCACTGTACTATATTAACTTATAGTCATAGACTTTACTACATAACTTTGCTAGTTCCTCAGACTCTTGGGTTTGCTCATTCCTACTTGGTGGTTTCCTTTGAAAATAGCAGCACGAATTATGCTTTATAAGGTTTGCGTAGGAAAGAAGGATCCTCTGCCATTTTGAGACATGTAGCTTTCTCCAACTCATATAAAGTTATCTCTGAGCTCCAAAAATCACATTTCTACCCCGAGGAAGCCCTAGCGTTCTGATCTGTAGCAATACTCTATTTAAAGGCTTACTAGAGGGGTAAGACAATTAAAGACCTTTAGGGAGACACTCAGAGCAAGGTGACTCAGAGCAACATTAGGTTCAAGACACACACTCCAGGGCCGTTGTTTTCACACCCAGATTAAGCATACTAAAAAGTGTTAGGTCTAATATAAAAGGTTGAGATGGGAAAGTCGGAATATGGGTCCTAGAACTCCTGCATCCCAGTGAGAAGAAAGCAGAATTATTTGCTTCTGTTAAGTGGATTTGAGAGCCTACCATTAAGAGTTTTGCTGAAGATTTAACGCCCCCTGCAGGCCAACTCTATAATAGATCTCTATAAGTACTACCACAGAAAGATGACTGAATAGAAATCACATTTCCTCCCCAAAAGAACAGGAAAACCAACCAAGCCTTTCCTCAGACAGTTATTTACAATTTAAATAAATTAGTTGTGTGTATTTGAGTATATGAGTGTATTCATTTTAGAATAGCTTTCACAAATTAGATAATCCATTCCAAGTTGCTCCTTCAAAATAATACTGTACCTTACTAAAAAAAAAAAAAAAGCTTATTTTCCTAATGGCCAATTGCATTAGTCAAGCGAAAATACTTGTAAATGAAAAATCTCTGAGGCATGTTGTAAGTATAGTCATCTCTTTGCTCAGATTCCGGAAAGCTAAATACTCACATATTTTATTTATCCACATGGAAAGGGCTGAGAGGTGTGTCATAGGTTAACAATTCCTCTTCCTGAATACAGGCAGATTATCAGTTAACCGTGCCCTTGGTGCTTTACAAAAACAAATGATAAGTTAGGTTGCTATAATTGCACATAAACCATTAAAAAGGCTTACTAGAGGGATAAGACAATTGAAGGCTTACTAGAGGGGTAAGACAAATAAAAAACAAATAAAATAAAGATTGTTGGGCCTCTCTGTGACCAGAACTCAATGGAAATGATCTTTCTGTCAATTTGAAGGGATGTTCTACCCCACTAGGCCAGAGGTAAGTGGAAAGGACTTATTGAGACTTACATATGTACAGAAAAACACCCAAACTGCAGGCTCCAGCCTTGAACCCAGCTTGCTTCTTGATTTTCCAAAATCTTACAGATGTTCATATTTATGGTGAGCTATTTTAGAAGTGGAAGGTTTTTTCAATTAACCATCATCTCATTATCTGAGGCACATACCACAGTGCCTCCAAAATATAAATAACAGTGTCTTCCTCAAATTTCTCCACAGGCATTATTCTCTTAACCTCAAAGTTTAAAATTCAAAAATACCTGGGAATTTTAGTCTAATCTTTGAGAATGCTCTTATCTCTGAAGCAAGGAAAAATCATAAAACATGCTAACTCAACTGGAACATTATTAAGAAAGTGATAAAAAAAAAAGTTATGTAATGGAAGATTTAACTTTCAAGAACACTTTGGCAAATTCTTATGCGCTAATGTACAAAACATGCCAGGTTTGCGTTTGTTCTTTTTTATGTCCTCCCCTTGATTTTACACTAATTCTTGTTCTGACATCAGCAAGAATAAGGCAGTCTGGGATGTGGGTAAGTTTTCCTTATTGGATCAAAATTTTCAGTTCATATAGTAAGGTCTCTCATCTCTTTGGCAATTGGGAAATGGAAAATTCTGCTTAATGAAATGTTCAGGTTCCTGAAGATAAGGGAACTTTCAGAGTCTCAGGGCTAGAAGATGCCTAGGTATGACCTCATCCACTTATTTTACAGCTGTTGAAATCAACCTTGCAGTCTTGGTGATTATCGCCTATTTCTCCACGTTACCCATACAATGTCCCTTAAAGGACAAGTTGCCTCTCCTAAAAATTGTTTCCCCATCATCAAAGAAACAGAATAACGTAATAATATACATCATGGAAATGTCACAGGCCATCAGCCAGTTTCTCTGAGGACTGGAAAGGCAAGGAAGTCTCCTAAATTGCCAAGGAATGATAAGGGAGATCTGTTTGCTTTACAAATGTCTCCCTCACCCCACACCCAGAAAAAAATAACTCATCCAGTGCTATGTATAACCTGGCTTCCCAGAAACAAGATGGGGAAACTGATGCTGGATCAACTTCCAAGACAGGGATCCATATTTGTTTCCTTGAGCAACAACATAAACCATGAGTGGGTGAGCACAGCCCTACTGGTATAAGGAGAGGAACTGCCCGTGAGCTCTTGTCAGCCTGGCTTCCTTAAGTAGTATTACTGATTCATCCATTCAGCTGGGTTTGCCCTGGAGAAAGCAAACCAGTTGCAAGTGCGATGACCACACATTTGTGGCAAGTTGCGGCTTTCCCTCATTCTTTCCCAAATCCACATAAATCAATCAGAATTCAGGAAAAAGGATGGCTTGAATTCCTTGTCCCATGTTTGCCCACACTAGTAATATGGATGGTCTAGAATACACCCAATGGACCTCAGAGTGGCTAGGGCAGTCTTTGAGATCCATGACTTTTACCTTCCAATATGTGTTTGAGACCACAAGATGGACACACAGTCCCATGGTTTCATGAGTGGTGACAGTTAAAAGGAAAGTCATCCATTTTTGTAGCTGGACTTCTTCAACATTAAAAGAATCAGAGGCTGGTGTGAATCACTTAAGAAATATACACACACACAAACACACACACACACGTGTGTGTATGTGTGTGTGTTTGTGTGTGTGGTCACTTATTTATTGGGGTAATATGGGTAACAGAGTTCTGAAAGCATCAGAAAAAAAGTTAGTGGGAACACTGAAAACAAAGTGTACCCTAAGCCAGTAATTTGGTTTAGGGATGGCCCGAGTTTTAGATTTCCAAGGAAATTAGTAGTTGTATTTTTCAGGCTGTACCCAAGCTCAGTGAAAATATTTCCACTTGTCAGTTAAGAGCAGTTCAACTGATCAACTTCATGAGCTGTTTCTTCTGAGGCTGACAGATGTCCTTCATGTTGCTCAGTACTTTAAAAAAAAAAAGAATCAATGCATTCATTTTATTTCTCTGTAGGTATCCAGGCATGTAAATGACAGAATTCTCTGAATTTGACCTTAGAAGCAGGGCCTGAAGTCAGTACCTTGTGGGTCTCTCTGAAGCTGGGAACAAAATCTCATTGTTTTTCTTTCTTTCTTTTCTTTTCTTTTTTTCTGTTGTATTTTTCTTTCAGAGAAGATATGGCAAAATGGAAGGCCATCTGAAATCAGGCCGATGTTCTCAGGATTAACAAGCTCTCCACTGAGCTAATAGCATTAATTGTTGAATAGATCTTTAAAATGGCCCACAGGAGATAAGATGGGGTTGACTTACACAAATCCAGCTTCCTTGCGATGGTCTACCTCTCCTGTGAAGGAAAATATCTGAAAGATGTGGATCTTTTCCCTGAGTCTTTCATCCTCACAGACAACCTTGCCAATTACCAGGGCCCTCTGAGGAGCCAGCTTCAGTGACAAGACAAGAATATGAAATGAGGAACAAAGAAAATCTTGGGAATGTGCTACCCGAAGGAAAGGAGTGAGAACAAACAAGATTGACTTAAACAGACATGGCCATCACTTACCACAGCCAAGATCTTCTGCCTTCCCCTATGAACTGCATGATCTCTATGTATAAGTCACAAAGAATTTATATCAACTAATCCCACCTTTTACTTTGTACACTGCAAGTCCCTCCCTTCCCTGATTCTCACCTTCCTTACGAAGTAGAGATGACCATTTTTCCCATTTTACAGATGAAACTAAAGCCCAGCCCAAGGCCATATAGCTAGTGTGCAGTAGTAGAGCCAAATCTAAGCCATCCACAATGGCCCTTTGCTCCACCCATGTCTGATTTCCTACTTGTGCATTACTCTTTAATTTTATGAAGTCTCATCTGAAGACC